TCAGTTTCCTCATTTGTAAAATGAGCTGGAGAAGGAAATGACAAACTACTCCAGTATCTTTACCAAGAAAACCTCAAATGGTGTCACGAAGAGTCAGACACAACTAAAAACTACTGAACAACAATTCCAAGGAAATTATGGGTCCAGTCCGAAATATATACATGGCATTCACTCAACAAGGATACTGTTAAAATACAAATTCAGATAATGTCAATATTAACCATGGAGGGGAAAAAAAAGCTTAGAAAATGTATTATCTCCCCCTTTACGGCTTTGCTTCAGAATTCTCACTAGCCTGTTTCTCACTTAGGAATATTTTCTTTTTTAATATCCATTCTTTTATTGTGAGTTCCAAATTCTCTCCTCCCTTCACCCCTCCCACCTATCCATTGAGAAGTCAAGAAATACAACACCCATTATGCATCTGAAGTCATACAAAACATAATTAAAGAAATTATTTGGAATGTTCTCAGTAACGCCATAGCAACTAGTGAGCAGCTATGCAAATCTCTAGTTTTACCCAACAGATATGGTCCTAAAAAGTTGGGTGAAAATGACATTTGTGTAAGTCATATCTGATTTTCCCACTGAGTTGCCTTATTACTTTGGAGGATGCTTTATTATTCTTCTGGATTGATCATTGCTACTCCAGCTTTCAGCTTTAAGTCACATGAGTCCACAGTTCTAGTTTCTCTGTCCCATAGTTAATGATCAAGGAGTGAGTTTAAATCCCAACTCAGTCACTTACTTACTGTGGGGCTTTGGCTAAGTCACAGAGCTCTTGAATCCTCAGTTTTCTCACCTACAAATGGAGCAATGCAAAAGCCTTTACTAAGTGCTTACTACGTGCAAAGCTCTGTCTTTGTGCATCAGAATGTAACAAAGTTCCCCTGGTGTCCTGAAAGTCACTTTTAAATAGGAGAAGATGACAAGACGCGGCAGTTTCAGGTACAAGTCAGATGGAAAGGCCCAGTGGTCCTTAGAGTGTGAGGGCACTTTCGAAAATGTCGTTTCCATTGGCAAAAACATATCTGTTCCTGATGTCGAATTTCATGGAGCAAATGGGAGCTTCAGCACCTGCAGAGGCAATGGACAGATTCCATTTCCACAAGAGTTGCACGCCTAGACAATAGTTACTGGGTCTGTGCTGAAAGTAGTACCAGGGACCTGGGAGGGCACTGATATCTCAGGGGTTCTTGGGTGTAGGGTCCTAGGATATTTAGAACTAGAGTCTGGAGGAAGGTGGTGGTCAAGGTGATAGCAGTGGTTTCTCCTACCTGGCTTATTCCACCCCTGGCTCTCCCTCCCTCTTTGCTACCCCATCCAGAGAGTACTGGCTTTCTAGGACCTTACTTGGCTGTCCATTGGTGGCAGATGGTTCAGCAGTTGGAACTAATGATGGTGAGGATGGCAAGCTTCTTCCCCATAAGGGTTGCCCCACTGGATGATGGCTGTGGGGGCCACGTGGGAAGAAGGGCTGGTTGGTGGTCTGGGGAAGAATTACTATGCCTGAGGTCCTTGGATTTGTATGTTCATTGGTGGCAGTTGGTGTTGGTGGTGGTGAGGTAGCAGAACCTTTCCCTACAAACGTTGTTCCTATCAGTGATGTGGAGAGGAAGGAGGCATGGCTGGTGGTCAGGGGTGGGAAGGAGTGCTATTTCTAGGGCTCTTTGACTTAACCTATGACAGGAATTCTGTATTATGCACAAAGCTGAAAATACATTAGAATCTAAGTCCCCTTTTCTCACAATTCCCATTTGGAGAAAAGGGTGGGACTCGATGATCTCTAAGATTCTTTCCATCTCTAACATTTATCTGTGAATAAATATATATACTATATATAGTATATGTATATACTACATATAACATCTCTACACACACACACACACACACACACACACACATCAGGAGGTAATGTCTAAAGAAACCTGGTAGCAAATACTCATAAAGGACAAAAAAAACCTTTTTTTCATGAGAAAAACTAAATGTGGTGGTGATGAATCTCTCTGAGTTTCTGTTGTCATATTTTGATTTTCCTTGAAGCAGACATACTTGCATAAAATCCTTTGGGTTGTTTTGGTTTGGTTTTATTTTTGTCTCTTTTTTTTAACCCACAAATGCTCGGTTTTTAATCCTCCTATTTTCTCATTTCATTTGGCTTTTTAAAAGGGAGTGCTAGAATTATTATTACTAGTAAATATTGGTAGGCTGGCACCTTGGAGAAGGACACTGATAAGGATGGATTTTGGAAGTTTATCTACAACTTTCACTTCTTTTTCAATTTTTTATTTGTAGGGTAGGCATTAGATTAGAAGCTCCTTGAAGTCAGAGACTATCTTTTGCTTCTTTCTGTAAACCCAGTGTTTGACACTATGTGCTTGGCACATAGTAGGTACCTAATTAATGTTTATTGAATGAATGAATGAGCTCCAACAATGGGATTGACTAACTTCAGGTTACCAGAAGGCAAAGACTATTTATGTCATCTTTCATATTGCTATCCCCAGAACTAATACTGTCTTGGACATAGCAGGTACTCATTAAATGAATGAATGAATGAATGAATAAAATATAAAATCTGAATTCTAGTAACTGAAATTTGACCCAATACGTCCAGTCTTTTATTGATTTATGTATATTAATCAATATATATATGTGTATAGCAAGAAAGTCAGTTTCTCAAGCTTTCTGTTTATAACTATCATAAAACATTTGTTCAGAATTAACAGAAGTTTATTACTTCTATGTTTTCAACTCTTTTGACCAACTCTGTAAATGAAAGCTACTCTTTGGTGATCAAAGGTAACTAGAGTTTTTAAAAGATTACCAATTGCCACATAAAGATGGAAAGAGTCTAAAGATGATATATTTGCTTTATCCTATGCCAGGAGGAATTTTGTTTTTGTTTTTCATAAGGACCAGTTAGTCTCTTAGGAAAGATTCCCTTTTGAGCTGTTTCTTATTCTTCTATGGACTGTAGACGCTTCAGAGAAATTCGATTTTGGAAAAATACAGGTGATGATGAGGGAGTTTAATCATAACAGGTTAAGATCACCTTTTAGGTCAAACTCACCACCACCACCACCATCACCCCCACCAGATCAAAACCCTACAGCATCAAAACCAACCTACTAAAGAAACTTTCCTAAAATTGGTAGCTAATTCACTTATACCCACACAATGAGTCTCCTAATCCTGATACTTAGTAATTACATTTTCTGATAGGAAGGAGAAATTGGGGTGGAGAGAGTCTAATATCTGACCATTAACAGTTAGTTTAAGAATCACGATTTTGGGGGAAGCTTTGCCATTGGTGTCGCCTGAATCTCTGAGATCAACAGCACAATGAGGGGGATCAAAGGCAGGTGAACAACGATGAGAATAAAGTGAACCTGGAAAGGTAACAAAACTCTAGTCAAGTAAGGTGGTCACTATTACAGAGATAAAAGATACTTCCCTCCTATCTGTCAACAACCAATAAACATGGTTTTTTGGGGGAGTATTTTTGTTGTCGTTCAATTGTTTTTCAGTCGTGTCAAACTCTTCATGACCCTATTTGGGTTTTTCTTCGCAAAGATGCTGGAGTGATTTGCCATTTCCTTCTTCTCCAGCTCATTTTACAGATAAGAAAACTGAGGCAAGCAGGGTTAAGTGACTTGCCCAGGGTCATATAATAAGTGTCTGAGGCCAGATTTGAACTCAGGAGTCTTTCTGACTCCAGGCCCAGCACTCTATCCACTGTGCTGCTTAGCCGCCATTTTTTTTTTTAGCTAACATTTATGGAATACGTTATGTACCTGGTACCAGTAGCTGCCATTTTTTTTAGCTAACATTTATATAACACTTATGTTATTATTAACATTGTGCTAAGGACTTTACAGTTGTTATCTCATTTGATCCTCACCTACCTTTTAGGTAAGTAGTATCATCCCATTTTACAGATGAGGAAACTGAGGCAAACAAAGGATAAGTGACTTGACCAAGGTCACATAGCTAAGAAGTATCTAAAGCTGGATTTGAATTCGGGTCTTCCTGACTCCAGGTCTGGCACCCTATCTACTGTACCATCTAGTTACCTATGACCCATCTATCAATACCCTTTTCTAAATAGGAAAAGAAATTCCAGATTTAAAAAAAAAAACCCCTAAATCTTCACTCATATCCTCTGGGATAAATGCTAAGATGTATTTTTTATTGTAAATAGCTCAAGAAAAAAATTCACTATCTCTGACCATGCTAGTCACCATTTTCCTTTTGTCATTCCAGATGACAGTCATGTCCCACTCAAAGGACCTCAAAGATGACTTTCACAGTGACACAGTGCTCTCCATCTTAAACGAACAACGGATTCGGGGAATTTTATGTGATGTCACTATCATCGTGGAGGACACCAAATTTAAAGCCCACAGCAATGTCCTGGCAGCTTCAAGCCTTTATTTCAAAAATATATTTTGGAGCCGTACTATCTGCATTTCCAGTCATGTCCTGGAGTTGGATGACCTCAAGGCTGAAGTGTTTACAGAAATACTTAATTATATATACAGTTCCACGGTTGTTGTGAAGAGACAGGAAACAATGACTGATCTTGCAGCTGCAGGAAAAAAGCTGGGAATATCATTTCTGGAAGATCTTACAGATAGCAATTTCTCAAACTCTCCAGGTCCCTATGTATTTTGCATAACAGAGAAGGGTGTGGTTAAAGAAGAAAAAAATGAAAAACTATCTGAAGAACCAGCTATTGCCAATGGACCAAGGATCACAAATGCATTTTCCATCTTTGAAACTGAAAATAATAACAGCATGTTTTCTCCCCTGGACTTGAGGGCAAGTTTTAAAAAGGCCTCAGATTCAATGAGAACATCGAGCTTTGGCCTAGAAAGGAACGACGTCTGCAACGAGGCTGAGCCCGTCCGGACGCTAGCGGAACATTCCTACGCCGTTCCATCAGCAGCTGATGCTTTTCAAGGACGTCCTTCGTACGAATCTGCTGCCAGCCCACCTTATATAAGAAGTGAAGAAAATTGTGATGAGGCGCCTGCAAAAACACAAACATGCAGGACCCCCAAGACACCCCCAAGACCCCAAGCTTCCAGTTCCGCAGTGGCAAAAATGCCACCCCCTCAAGGAACCAGCACAGAGGTTCATCAAGAAAAAACCCCAGATCCAACCATTCCTTCCATTTCCGATTCTCACAAGAGTCAAGAAGACAACCGTTTTCCCAAGGAAAATGAAAACCCACCCGCTAACATTCCTGAATCCACACCCCCAGCCCTCC